AAACTGCTAAATTAGGGACGGCTAGCGCAGATAACCTTCGTGTATCTTTGCGCGAAATTCAAAAACAAACAAATACTCAGAAATTCAGATTAAAAAAATTAGCAATTACCGATTCGAAAATATAAAATAGTGCTGCGTAGGAAGACGAAAAAGAAGTTCCAATATTTGAAAGTAATCATTAACACTTAAAGTAGAGAGTTAATAAGAAAGTTTTTTTTTTTATCATTGCTTGATTTTCGTTTTATCTTGATAACATAATATATGCCCCCCAGTGGCACAGCGTTATGTCTGCGGACTTACAACGCTAGAAACCGGGTTTCGATACCCGTGGTGGGCAGAGCACAGATAGCCATTGTGTAGCTTTGTGCATAATTAAACAAACAAACATAATATATATATGGCTTAATAGTCACAAACTGTTAGTCAATTTTAGTTTCTCCTTCACGAGTTCGCTGATTCTGCTTCGTCGGGATTTAGGTCCTTGTTAGGACCTGGGAGGGTCAGGTGCAATCTCGACCTCTTCCTCCCTCAGTATGGGTGTGGTGTGCACTGTCAAAAGTTGACATTAAAGAGGGTATTGTCTTCACGAATGTTTATCATATGAATTCAGCCCCCCTATCAGGGCCATGTTATAGGATGATATTTAATACCTCTATCAGGGCCATGTTATAACATGATATTCAATTCCCCTATCAGGGCCATGTTATAGCATGATATTTAATTCTCCTGTCAGGGCCATGTTATAGCATGATATTTAATTCTCCTGTCAGGGCCATGTTATAGCATGATATTTAATTCCCTTATCAGGGCCATGTTATAGCATGATATTTAATTCTCCTGTCAGAGCCGTGTTATAGCATGATATTTAATTCTCCTATCAGGGCCGTGTTATAGCATGATATTTAATTCTCCTATCAGGGCCATGTTATAGCATGATATTTAATTCTCCTGTCAGGGCCACGTTATATCATGATATTTAATTCTCCTGTCAGGGCCATGTTATAGCATTATATTTAATTCTCCTGTCAGGGCCATGTTATAGCATGATATTTAATTCTCCTATCAGGGCTGTGTTATAGCATGATATTTAATTCTCCTGTCAGGGCCATGTTATATCATGCCCGTTTTGTGGACAAACAAAAGGTCTTCAAACTTCCGTGAGAAAAACAATATATGTTTTATTAAATGTAATGGTTCTATGTACGACAGTGTGATGGTTCTATTACGACAGTGTGATGGTTCTATGTACGACAGTGTGATGGTTCTATGTACGACAGTGTGATGGTTCTATATACGACAGTGTGATGGTTCTATGTACGACAGTGTGATGGTTCTATATACGACAGTGTGATGATTCTATATACGACAGTGTGATGGTTCTATGTACGACAGTGTGATGGTTCTATATACGACAGTGTGATGGTTCTATACCGTGGTAGCTGGATTCATGATTTTTTTCACACCATTCGTTTTCGTTTTGCAAATTCATATGTACTTGTCAACAGTTTTCTTGTCAATAAAGGTAACAGCTGCTCCAAGCTTTTTTAACATATATGTAATATATATAATGAAAGACATCTTACTGGGTGACGTTTCTTTACTGACGAAAAATTATCCAACAATGATTGTGAATGAATTTTAATTTTCTCTCTTGAGCTGTTTTCAAGAGTTTTATTTATATATTTTAAGTTGAACACCCTTTTAACTTTGAATTTTGAATATTTGTTATTAATGGCTCACTTTGTTGTCCTATATTTTTTATATATATACATTATATTGTGCGAACATTAATATATAAAACAGGATCAAAATCAATTGCGTAAAACAGCGCCACCTACCTATTGGTAGGCAGTTGAAACAATCCGTAAAGGTTTTCCACAGTTTGATGCTATACCTTCTTTTACACTCGTCGTAAAATCCGTAGATTCTGCATGTTTGAACAAGAAGTAATATTACACAGCCAGTTTGAAAGTAATATTAAACACCCGTCTAATAATAAACTATTGGTTCGAAAAAAAAAAAAAGACTAAATCAATATTGAAGACTACAGTAAAACGAATCGTTGTGCTTAACTTCGAGTTCGATGTTGTTCGCTAACTTGGGAAACTTGAATTAAAGTTAGGACTTAAGTTGACCGGGGCCGTATTAAAATATTTAACATAGTGACAACTTAGAAATCTTATGACATTTTTAATAAACTCTAGCGGTGATTTTATAAAATAATCAGTCGCTTGTTTTGTTTTAATGCAAATGAAGATAATCGGCAGCTATCTGCTTTCTGTCCACTACAGGGAACCGAACCCCGGATTTTAGCGCTGGCCCTCTGGGGGTTAGTCAGCTCATTCGCAGTATCTAAAATAAATAATAATTGATTTTTTTGTTGTTGTTGATTTCCTCGCAAAGCTACTCAAAGGTTATCTGCGATAGTTGTCTCTCATTTAGAAGTGGTAGACTAGAGGGAAGGCAGCTAGTCAACAACACCCACCGCCAACTCTCGGGCTACTCCTTATCAGCGAATAATGGGATTGACCGTCACATTATAGCGCCCTCACGACTAAAAGGGGTATGCATGTATGTTCAGCGACGGGTTTCGATCTCGCGGCGCACGGATTGCGAGCAGAGCACCCTAACCACTAGGTCATGCCAGGCTAAATAATAATTGAAGCTGCACATAGTGATAAACAAGTAACTATGAAAATAATATGGTAATATTGCTTTCGGTCCTCTGGTTGGGTTTCTTTTGTTCTGAATTTTGCTCAAAGCTACACGAGGGCTATTTGCCGTAGCCGTCCCTTATTTAGCAGTGATAGACTAGAGGAAGACAGCTAGTCAACAACGTCCACCGCTAACTCTTGGGCTACTCTTTTTACCAACAAATGGTGAGATTGACCATCACATTGTAACCCTCAGAGTGCGAGTCGAGCGTCTCTTAACCACCAGGCCATGCGAGGTCCTCTTTCGTTTTTTTAAGCACAATGAACTCTATCCTGTGGCTACCACAGGGATCTACCCCGGAATTTTTGAATTATAAACCCTCAAACGTACCGCTTAACCATCGGGGGCATTTTTATTTAGTTAAAATAATAATCTAAATAAAATCATATCAAGTCCTCAAAGATTTTAATATTGAAATAAACAAAGAAATTGAATATTTGAATTACGAATACACAGAAACAAAACCCACTTATATCTCCGCATGCCCGAGTTTTCTGGCTTGTTATTAGAATTGGTTTCATTTATTCCTTCGAGAACAATTTATTTCTTCACAAGACTACGAGATTCCAAACTAACAGGGCCCCGGCATGGCCAGGTGGTTAGGGCGCTCGACTCCCAATCTGAGGGTCGTGGGTTCAAATCCCCGTCCCACTAAACATGATCGCCCTTTCAGC